TTGACGCGAAATAGGTCGAGCATCTTTTCATGTTTTAGTATTGGCCACTTGGATATTCCCTTTGGGGAAGAGCCTACTTCAAGCCTCTTTCCCAACTTTCTGTTGAGTTGCCTGTGTTTATTATTGATTTGTAGGAATTCTTAAATATATTCTAGATCCAAGTCCTTTGGTTATCTTTTCTCCCTCCTTGGTGGCTTGCTTTTTCATTCTCTTAATGGTTTCTTCTGATGAATAGAAACAGTTAATTTTAATATAGTCTAATTTATCAATATTTTCCTTTATGAATTATGTTTTTGGTGTTCTTTATAATTTTTTTGCTTAATCAAATGTCCTGAAGATATTCTGTGTCATCTTGTAGAAGCCTTTTCACGTTTATATCTATAATCTATCTAGAATTGATTTTTATATATGGTGTAGATTTTTTTTCATATGGCTATCCAGTTGACTTAGCACCATTTATTAAAATGACCATCTTTTCTTCACTATTCTTCATCACCTTTATTATAAATTAGGCACCACAGATAGATAGAGAGATACATATAGCCACTTTTCTGGTCTCTAAGCTCTTCCATTGGTTGATTTGTCTATATTTTGTTTGGTTCTGGGATCAAGAAGCATAAAATATAGTCCCTGCTCTTAAAGTGCTTACAATCTAATGTAGGAATGAGTTAAATAAACAGCTAATTTCAATATAATGTGGTGTGTAAGAAAATAATGTTAAAATTGTGCTCATGTTTTAAGTTTTTAGAATTAAACTGTTAAGATTCACTTTAGTAAAGAAATTATAATGCAGTAGTAGAACTGTTCTCATAACTGAAAGATAATTTCCATTTCATTAGTTGGATTTCCTTTATAGTTTACGATACACAAGTATATCCTTAGACGTACATTGTTTAGTTTTGCATATTTGGCCTCAGTATAAAATGTCATCACACCACATGTATTCTTACTCTTTTTGTTATGGTTCAGTTTAAGCTTTTAAGACCAATTACATTTTAGTGATGGAATTTCAGGCAGTGGGAAAAATTTTGTGCCAGGTGCTTCCGGCAAATCAGTAGTTCCTAAGATATGGTATACAACATGACTTTAGGTGGTATTTGGACAAACATTTTAAAGCATTGATATTTTATGTTTATTTTTATAGTTACTTTCTATTGATTAAAAAAAGAAACTGGTTTTTCCATTTGCTTATGGCATAAAATTTCAAGTCAATTTAAGAACAATTAAGTCCATAATTTTAAAGGTGATAGACACTTTGTGCTTCTATATAGCATGGCAGAAATTTGAGGTGGAATGAGAATGACATACTTGGATAACTCTGCCTCATAGAGTGCTTTCTTCTGGCTCAGGGAATGGACGAGGAGGATTAACATTGCCTCCTTTTGGCCAGGGCCACTATCTGGCCAAGGCAAAGTTGCTCCTTAGAAAGTTACCATTGGCTAAGATAGCAGCAGTGCGCTGGGCAATATTATGAAAAAGGTAAAATCTATCTTAGGTTTGCCATTCTTCCTCTGCTGTGAATGCCTACTTACAACTCAGCATAATGTAGGGAGGCACATAATTGAATGCCAACAAATTTATAATTTCTTTGGTTATAGGATTAAATACCACCTGTGTCTTTTTCAATGACAGATGAGGAAGTAAAGTGTGGTATCAGAGGCTCTTGTTAGGGTTTTGAATTAAGGAGCACATGAGCACATAGTATGAGCTCTATGCTGAGGACAGCCTCAGTTCCAGAAAGAATGTAACACTCAAGGGTGGGCTTCAAGGGACAGGACAGAAACAAAAGGCAAGGCTCCGATCCAGAGAATGGGGGGTGGAGGAGAGCGAGCTTGGGGAGCATTCCCCATCCAAAGTGAAAGTGTCAGGCTGCCATGCATTTTATGGTGGTAAATGGGGCAGATTTTATAATTTGGTGCTCAAGACGCATGGTCACCTGTCTATGGGAAAGAAGCAAGAATCAATAAGATCTGTGACCATGGATGTGGGAGAGGAGGAACTACAAATAGTTTAGGAGAGATATAATACGAGTTCAAGTGTGGGAGGGTGGAAGAATGATGATCTATCCCGAAAGCAAAGAACTAGTCTGGAGGAGAGTTGATTTGGAGGGAAAGATAAGTTCAATTTTTAACATGTTAAGTTTGAGGTTACTGGGCCAGTGCATGAGGCTGAGGTGATCAACAACAAAAAGCTAAGCAAAGGTGCCAGGGGTGGGGTCTTAACAGGCTGGAGACAATAACCCAGAGCTATTGGGACAATGTAGGAGAGAGACAGACAGACAGACAGACTGGCTGACTCTGCACATAGCCAAGGAGAAAAGCAAAGGCCACAGCCAGGAAAGTTGTCTAGCACAATGTCTTCTTGTAAGTAGCATTTCATAAATATTTGTTGAAATATTTGTGAAAAACCTGTGTAGACATTGGATGTCAGAAGTTGAAGAGATGTAGTGAGATTTCAACTTTTGGAGGTGGAGCTTGTGGCCAGCTTGGAATGTGATCTTATACACGGAGGTAAAAGAAAAAGACCTTCAAGTTCTTGTAATAGTCAGTTTACTTGAAATAGAGCCCAAAGCTTTACTTCTCAGGCTCCCACTCAGAACTTTGTATGGCTTTTATTTAATGCATAATTTTTAATAAGCATGACTCGTTCCCCTTTCCACATTAAATTAGAAGTCAGCAATAGCTGTTTAAAGGCTTCTCAGAGTAATGAGAGGTGACAGCTGGCAACCTGGCTTGGAGGGAGGAGACAGGAAATAAAATCAAATTGTGCTTGATTACCATATATTACTAAAGAAAGTGGGCTCTTTCAGTGGTGGAACAGGTTGTGTGGTGAACAAACAGACTCAGTGACACAGGATGAACAGTGGGGCAGGTGATGCACACAAGTCGCCCAGGTAATCCAGCCAGGCTGGGCAGCAGCATCTGTCTGACAGTGCTGGGTAGGGGCCAGATGGACCTGGCTCCGAGGGAATCTAGCCTAGGCAGTAGGTAATAATGTTGGGCAGGCAGAGGAAGGCCCCAGGGGTGTCTGGCTGTTCATAGGGATTGCGTTGTAGGCAGAATTCTAGTCCTAGATGAATTAAGGCTGATCCCAGAACTCAGTGGAAGGAAAAAAACAGATGGGAGGAGGGGAGTGGGAGGGGCCACAATGAGAGCAGCTACTGTTTACTTAGCACTGTGTACTAAGCTCTGTGCAGAGCACCTCACGGCTTATCACACAGTACTTCAGCTCTCCTCCCCTGTTTTTTTTCTAAAAGAGGAAGAGAAATTTCAAAGGTAGCTGGAATGTGGCCGAACCAGGATTCCATCCCAGTCTGTCTTCACAACTCATGCTCTTAATTGCCAGGCGACAACCGTCTCTTGCTGGAATTGTCCCTTGTTGCAGCTTGAGTACAGTTGGTACTGGCCCTGCATGCATGTTGCCGTGGACTTTGCTGAGCTGTGGATCCCAGCACGATGCTCTTTCCCCCTCCAGGTCTGCTCAGTGCTGGAGTCCAGCTGGACTGAGATCACGCTCCCGGCATCCCCCATCTCCTCTGCCTGGTGATGTGGGCAGAACTTCTCTCTTTACCCTCTGCTTGTTTTACCAAAGACCTCCTTCTGTTCTGAAATAGATACTGTGCCATGGGGCATTTTTTCCCCATAGGATTCATTCCTTGGCTGAAAGTTATCCAATTTTACTCTGTGATAATCTTCTGTGTAATCTTCCTTCACTGCACTGATCTTAGTTAGTAACTGGGGGATTATCCGATTCTTCTCTCTCTGCCCCATGGAACTGTAAGCTTCATGAAGGCAGAGACCGTGGTTTTTTGCTCACCATTGCATCCTCGTAGCTAAGCACAGTGTCCAACAACCAGAAGGCCTTTAATATTGTTTGATGAATGAATATATGAATGACTGCCTTAAATTAATTTTAATTGTCTCTTAGTTGCCAGGTACTATATTAGATCATAGCCCTGTCTCCCAAACTATATTCAACGTGGTAAGAAACTGAAGGCTTGCTGGTAACTTAAATCCCATTCAGGGGTAGATGAAGATTTTGTGGGTTCTAAAGCCATTTGAGGAGCCTTCCATAAGAAAAAGAATGTAAACTATGAACACAAAATTGGTTATGAAGGTATATGTTTATTTAGAATGACAAAAAGCCCAACTAATTAAAAATATAAACAGCTGGCTGATATCACAAATGTTGTAAAAATCCAGAAAAATATTTTATTAACTAATTGCCCAATATATTTGTATTATATTTTTTCCTACATATTTTGGCTGCATGTTATTGTATCACCTTTTCTATAACAATGATTTTTATAATTTCATGGCTAGAATAAAAAGATAATTTAGTCTTTACATTAATATAGTTACTAAACTTTTTAGCCTAAAATTATTAGACTTCTTGGATAATGTTCTTGCTGTATTATATAAAAACTGCAATTTTTTAAAGCTACGGAGGGCCACCAGCAGGAGAGAGGTTTGCATACTTCCTTTACCTTCTCTGAAGGCATCATTCTGTATGCAGCTGGTAGTTAGCACAACTCATGGTAGGTTTTCAAACTTCAGGAAAAGCATGGTACCTCTTCCTGGAGCATCAGTTTTATTTGTTGGTAAATACACTGAAACATTTTTATATTAAAATAAAAATAGAAATATCATAGAGTTGAATGAAAAATATATTAATTTTAAAGCTCAAACACTAAACTTCTTAAGGCTGTAATTTTGAGCTAATATCTTAACACTTTTGAATCTAAGATAGTCATCCTGCTTTCTGTTATACTACTTCTATGTTTTTTTAGATGTTTAATTGAATTTAGTAACTCTCTTCTTTTACTTTATTACTTAAGTGAAATTTAAAACCTACTTTTTGTTGAAATACACTGTATGCACAGAAAAGTGCACATATCATCAGCATATGGCTTGCGGAATCTTCATGAAGTAAACATACCTCTACATCCAGAACCCAGGTCAAGAACCCAGAAGGACCTGTTCATCTTTCCTTCCACGTACTTCCTTCACCCCTGGCATAGTGACCACTGCCCTGACTTCTATAAGGTTAGCTTTGCCTGATTTTAAACTTCATGTAAATGGAACTATTAAGTTTTTACTTGTTTGGATCTGGCTTGTTTTCCCCAACGTTATGTTTGTAAGATTCATTTATATTGTTGTGCATAGTTGCAGATCCTTCATTCTCATTGCTATTTCCTTGTGTGAATATACCACAAATTATGTATCTATTCTACTGTTGATGGACATTTGGGTATTTCTAGATTTTGGCTATTATGGATAGTACTGCTATGAACATTACAGTACATTTCTTTTGGTGAACATATGTGTGCTTTTCTATTGAGTATAAAACTAAGAGTGGAATTGGTGGATCACAGGGTATGCATATGACCAGCTTTGATTAGATATTGCCAAATAGTTGTTCAAAGTTGCAGTTTACACTCTCACCAATAATGTATGAGAATTCTGATTGGTCCGCCTCTTCACTTCACTTGATGTTTTCTATCTTTTTGATTTTAGACCTTCTGGTACCTGTGTAGTACCTCATTATGGTTTTAATTTGCATTGCAATTTTAAAAAACAACTGACAGTTTAGAAAAGATTCTGCTTCACAACTTGTTTTTGATATTGTGTAGATTTTCAGAATTGTTGTCAGATTTGGGAAGACCTCTATCCATTTTATTTCATGTATAAGCTTTAATAGTTCAGGATATTTCCCATATGTAGATGTCTTGATGAATAATCTATGATACATTCACACAACGGAATACCATGCAACTATTAAAAAAAAAAAAAAAAAAAAGAACCATTTCCGTGAACTGATATGGAGTGATTTCTATAATATATTAGGTGAAAAAAGCAAGCTGCAAGAGTATAAATAGTATGCTACCTTTTGTGTATATGTATGTGTATTTTTGCAAACATTAGGTAAAAGAATAAATCAAACACTAACAAAATCAAACACTGACAACAGGAGGTGAGTGGGAATAGGGAGATGGGATAGGTGAATGAGTAAGACTTAAAACTACCTATAAAGGTGTACTTTAACAGTTAGTAGTTTAACTGTGTTAATTGTTAATGTTTTACATGTTAAAAATAAATTTACAAGGATGGGAAAAACTAAAATTTAATACAAACAGAAACAAGTGGATCTAACTGTTTATCAAACTATTAACAAACCACACAGAAAAAGAATTCATTTAACCTTTGAACACATTTTTCAGAGTCTATAACTTTAGTGGTATATATTCTAAAGACAGAAAGTCTAAAGGAATATTGAACATTACTTAGTGAGTTTGTTGTGATTGATTTTGATACTATTTTGCATAGATTCTGAGACTGAGCAATTGAGAAAATCTGTTTCCTGTTGGAGTTCTCACTGTGGAAGAGGGGATATATAAAGGTGGAAGGAAAAAAATAATATTGTCATGTTGGATTTGAATTCAAGTTATCAGTATAAACTCATGATTTAAAAAACACCTCCTGACTGTCCACTGAAAGGTCCTGGAAACAGTGATTCCCCAGTAGGAATGAGCCCACCTAGTGTAAGATCTTGGTTTTCTAAATATGTTTCCCGCTAAAAGGAAGTAGGAGAAATGGCTTATCAAACTGAATACCAGTATTGGAGCATGAAAAGTACAAGGTGAGCCTAGAACATCCGGATGTACGAGAAAAGCAAGGAGATGCCTAAAAATCTATAGGGACAGGCTAAAATGATACAAGAACCAGCTTGTTCTCTCAGCCAAATTTGAGACAATTTGAACATCAAAAAGGATAATAGTAATACTTTTCCAGTGGAGATATCTGGAAACACCACTGTAACCAAGTGGTCAGACTTAACATCCCTAACAATGAGACACCCCAACATCGTGTGCCACCTGATGTGATGCAGTGGGAAGCATGCAGCATCACCTATTATTGTTTTTGCTAAAAATGTTCAATCTGAATACATTGAATACATAATCAGACAAATTCAAATTGTGGCACATTTTCCAAAACAACTGACCTGGACTCTTAAAAAATGTGAATGTAATGAAAGACAAAATAAAATAAAAAAAAAAAAGGAAATCTGTTCCAGAATAAAGGGGACTAAAAGAGACGTAACAGCTAAATACAATTCATGATTATTCATTAAATCCTCAATGGATTAAGGGGAAAAAAACCTAGCTGAAAAGGACATCAACGGGACAATGAGGGAAATTTTAATATGGACTATATATTAGATAACATCAAATCAAAGTTAAACTTTTTGGGTGTGATCATGTATTACGTTATGTAGGAAAATGTCCCTCTTCTAGGATATAGGTGCTAAAGTATTTAGAGAAGTGTTAGAATTTCTGTATCTAACTTTTAAATGGTTCAACAAAAAAACAAACAAAAGAGTATACACATATATATTTATATTGAGAGAAATAAAGCAAATATGGGAATACTTTAACAATTCATTGAATTGTAATTGTTCTTTTATCTTTTTGTAGGTTTGAAATTCTCTGAAATAAAAAGTTAGGGGAAGGGGGCCGGCCTGGTGGCGCAGCGGTTAAGTCCGCTTTGGCGGCCCTGGGTTCGCAGGTTCGGATCCCAGGCGCGCACCGATGCACCGTTTCTCAAGCCATGCTGTGGCGGCATCCCATATAAAGTAGAGGAAGATGGGCACAGATGTTAGCCCAGGGCCAGTCTTCCTCAGCAAAAAGAGGAGGATTGGCATCGGATGTTAGCTCAGGGCTAGTCTTCCTCACAAAAAAAAAAAAAAAGTTTGGGGAAAATAATTGCAGGGCATTTCAAGTGTTTTTGTGCAGTGACTAATGCCCATATCTAAGTTAAGAAAACTCATTCACCAGTTTGTCCTTGCTAGCTCCATAATAGGAAATCTATTAATATAATTCACAGTATTAATAAATCAAAAGAAGAATGGTGAAAAAGCATTTGATTAAAGTAAATATCCTTTCCAGATTTAAAACACTTTTAGATAAATTAGGAATATATAGATGATTCCTTCACATGACAAAGTTATATTTTGTTCTAAATGCCAGCATTCTGCTTAAGGGAGCAACACCTAGAAGCAGTCTCATTAAAGACAGGGTCAAGAAAAGAATGTCCACTGTCACTATTTATTTTTATAATTGGATAGTACTAGCTAATACAGTTAGGCAAGAGGAAAAAAAATTGAAATTTTGGAAAGGAAAAGATAAATTTTTCATTGTTTAGAGATGATATTAATATTTAGCTAGAAAACCTGAGAATTAACTAATAAACCATTACATGTAGTTAAGTAAGATGTCCAGATAAAAAAATTAACAGAATTCTGCTTCCAGCACTATGGAAAACAATGTATTCAGAAGAACCTTGCCTCCCATTATAAAATAACTAGATCCTGTCTATGATTGATGCATTTTGGACTTACAGGAAGTAAGGGAAATTTTCCAAGACCTGCTCCCTCCCCAAAAGGGGGGGTACTAAACTATGAGGGAGAGAAGTGGAAGCAATGAGCTTTAAGCTCTAAGACAACAATGTATAAAGTTAATGTGTCACGGACACGTTGTGTTAATTTTGAAAAGCAAAGGGGCTTAATATTAGAAAATGTATAAATGACATTTACTACATTAATAAATGAAAAGAGCAACTTCATTTGATCATTTCAATAAAAGCAGAAAAATCATTTGAAAGTCAACATTCAAATATGATTAAAAACGCTTAGTAAACTAGGAGTATGAGCTTTCTTACCTTGATAAATTATATGTACCAAATTTTTTTATAATGTTAAAAGCATTCCCTTTAAAACCAGGATCAAGAAAAATATAACATTGTTTGGGCATTGTTGGACAAGGAGAATGAAGGCTAGAGACTGGAAAGGATGAAAACAAATATTCCTTTTGTTGTTGTTGTTGGCAGATGTTATAGTTGTGTGCCAAAATGGTAGAGGTTATATCATGCCTTGTAGAAACTGAAGACAAATTATTATCTCAGAGTCTCACAAGGTGGCTACCAGAAGATCAACCTGCAAATATCAATTGATACCATTTGTATATACTAATAACAGACTGTTAGGAAGCATAATTTTAGAATTGCATAATTATATAAAATTAAAAAGAACCTAGGAACACATCTAACAAAATGTGTTAAGTCCTGTATGCAGAAACTTATACAACTTCATTGAAAGACATTAGAAAAGACTCAAAAGAATAAAGTCCACAGGTAGGGAGACTGAGAATTGTAAAGTCATCAATTTCTAATCAAAATGGTGCTGGGTTGGGCCGGCCCTGTGGCTTAGCAGTTAAGTGCACACACTCCGCTACTGGCGGCCCGGGTT